CGGGAGTGGCAGGAATCTACTTCACTGAGCGTTGTGGTGAGGTGGAGAAGCTGCCTGTCTACCCTCAGATCCCGTCTTCCTGGATGTCTGTGGTGTGAGTGTTTAATATAGTTCTGTTTTGTTGTTATTGTTACTGTTAGTTTAAACCCACAAGTTAACTATAACATGAAATAAATTGTAAACTACTATAGATTGCATATAGAGTTTTAAAAAAATATTATTATTACATTTAATGTAAACTTTTACATAATTTTACATGGATTTTTCAGTTTTGACATTTTCTGCCTAAGCAACAAAACAAAGTGTCTATTGATGTCAAACTCAGAACCTGTGAATTTACAAAAGGACTGTATTTTTACAGCACTGTGTTTATAATAACAGTAGGAAAATCAATTTTATGTTTCATATTTATTAATTTAATATCAGAATCAGAATACTTTATTGATCCCTAGGGGAAATTATTTTGGTTACAGTGCTCTGGTACAAACAGTAACAAAGACAGACAATACACTACAGTAAGAAAATAGCACAATATATACAAAATATGCATACATATATATAGATATATTGATAAATAAGAAAGAAGAGCATGTGCAAAAAGGGTGTAGCTACTGCAGTATACAGTGTGTTAAGTGGATGAGTTGTACAGGGAGATGGCCACAGGCAGGAATGAATTCCTGTGTTGTTCAGTGGTGCTTTTTGGTAATCTCAGTCTCTCACTGAACGTGCTACTGTGACTGACCAACATGTCATGGAGTGGGCGGGAAGAATTATCCACTGCTAATATGCAGTCACTGCTAATGATTATACCACATGAATGCAATTCAAATTTTCATGATGATAATATTCTGAAAATATAAAAATTAAACTTGCTTGTATGTTGGTTAATTGTTTTGATAACATGCAAAAACAGATTAAAAAAAAAACGCAATTTACACAATTATTCTTAAGTTTGTCTCTCATTCCTATCATGACTCTTCCACCTTTCAGCTTGGGTAAGGATTTTGAGGACGACTTGCAGTTCTTACTCCAGGGGGTTTCAGAGTTCCAGGTCCCGTCTAATTTAACTGCTTCGGAGGTTTTAGTCCATGGACC